TAAGCGCATATGTACGCGTTCAAGCCAATAGCTATTAGCTTGAATGTGACAAATATATAACTAACTTGTCACATAGCCCAGTGTGCCCCCTCAAAAGCCCCAGTGTGCGGCGGCCGATGGGAGGGGTTGGCAGGTCATTTAGGTGAAATTCCAGCCCGGCTGCTTGCTCGCTCCGCTGCCCATCTCAGTGGGTTGCTGGTAGAGCTATACATTTATTCGTCATACTCTATCTTACAAAGTCATTTCATATCATTTAGTCTCTACAACATTAACTAGACAAGACCAGAGCTTGCGTTCTTATCATATTCATATGAGCTCTCTGACTTACCTGGCAGAAGCTCCTGAACGACTGGCGGGCCATCGTTGCTCTCGAGCTCGAGCGTGAGTGAGGGTCAAAATCCAAATTAGTAGCCAGTCCGGGGTAAAATTTGAAAAGAAAAGTCCGGTGAAAATTCTCGGGAGCAACTCCACGGAACCAGAGGTGGTACCGCGGAGTTAGTTGCAGATTCGTGAATGGGGCGGTGCCCATTCACGAATCTGCAACTAACTCCGCGGTACCACTTCGGGAACCATGACTTTCTTTTCGCTTCCGAACGCTGAGAATCGGAAATGTTAGTTACATTAAGTATGTCCTATGTTGTCGACCCTAGAGGCACCTGAGAGGCACACGAGGTGGGCTGCGATCGTCGAGGAGGGCTCTATTCGACATCAGCTATCTATCCACTTAGCGCGCAGGGGTGACCAATGTCTACTTCTTCTTTCCGGCCACCACTTTTCCCCTCTCCAGTGCGGAATCGCGCCACTAATTCGGATTTCGACCCGTGAGGTCTGCCTCGCGTGCGAACCAAGTGTTGTCGCTGACATTGTGCACCATGAAGCCGGCCTCGTCATCCAATTGGTCAGTTGATAACGATCGACCTCGACCTCCAGTCCGGCTCTTGCAGTGCGCCCGAGTGCATTGCGTCTCATTTTCACGTGTTTGGGGCGTTGCTGTGCCCTGGCAGGGGTATAGAGGGGGTTGGTTTCCAGCGTAAAACATGTGTGTTGTACCCTGGAATTAAAAAAGCGTTTTGCGCACTGTAAATGGTCG